ACCAAAATTTCTTTATGTATACTTTTTTTTATCATTCTACTGAGCTCTCCCATAGCGCAGTTTTTCTCAGATATTCTTAAATGCCTTTTTACTCTATTAATGAGAAGAGATATTTCGATAGTTCATGTTTAATGCACCTTATATTAATCTGTCGACCCTGGCAATCTTGTAAATTCAAGGATAAAGATACGTCATCAAAAATATTGGGATCAAGAGACACGCGGCAGCAGTGCGAGAGCGAAGAGGAAGGCGAGTGTGAGGAAGCTACGACGCATCATCTGACGGAGGCAACGACTTCCGCCACGGAATGGATGGGAGTAACGACCAACAGTGACGAGTGTAGTTACAGGTGAGACGTACACATCTTAATAAACCGTAGCACTCTGTAAAACGAAATTGTTACAGCTCAGAACTTGGGGAATCTGATTTAGCCAGCGAGACTAATCTTAATTACGGAGAATTCGTGGAGCATCCTTTCTCATGGGAATTTGAGTTACCACCCTCAATATTATTTAATTCCACCTGCACATCGTCTGATCGTGGTTAGTATGACAAATTTTGCGTACAAATGAAGATTCCTCTTTTCAAGCAGCTACAGCCAACAAATTAAACGGTTGCAGATTTAATAATATTCACTTTGTGCCGCTCTGTTTACAGTCTCGTGTACGATTTGGACGCGGCGTGACGTCAAAAAGGCTGAATTGTCAGTGCTCGATATCAGTTCAGCGATTATCGCCAGAGTCGAATCCATGCCAGAGGGCATGAATTATTTTTACGGCGGTCTGATACTTGGCATCGCGTTGTGTCTAATACCGTCAATAAAACGGCTGAGTGACCACATAGGTTCAGATAATATCGGTAACGCGTCTGTTAGTCTACTACCGAGCGACATGATCCAGGTGAACTTCGAAACGTACACCGATGTTTTGTGTAGAACAATTGGCATAGCATTTGGAAGTGCATTTTGGTAAGAGAATACTTCTCCGGTTTATATTTGAAAATATTTACAGATTAGTAGGTTTTTTGAACCCCGACCGCTCTTTGTTTTTAGGGAACGAATAGTCGTGCTAATTTCAATGTTCGAACGATTTATGCTGTCATGCTGTCTATTTTTCTTGCTGGCAGTAGCGGAACGAACGTATAAGCAGAGACTTTTGTATGCAAAATTGTTTTCTCACTTGACATCGTCCAGACGCGCGCGCAAGTCTGACTTGCCGCACTTCCGCTTGAACAAAGTGCGCAACATAAAGACATGGCTGAGCGTCAGATCTTATTTGAAAGTAAGAACATCAAACGCTAATATGCTCGTCAATTAGAAAATTAGACCTATGCGTCTTGTGCCTCACGTTTTGTACAATTTCCTGTTACAGCGAAGAGGCCCACAACGATCTGTAGACATAATTGTTTCAGCAGTATTCATTATTACATTATTACTGCTGTCATTCGTAAGTTTGGAATTAATTAAAGTGAGTACAGTTTATATTTCTTTCATATATCTACGTTTTGTACACGTTTACTTCTTTTGACAACGTAAATCTTATTCTAGGATCTCGAAAGCCTGCATTCACGATACAATGTCGAAGCATTATTCTGGAGCTTCTCGCTTGGAATATTTATATTACGATTTATGACGCTAGGAACGAAGATCAACAAAAAGTACAGAAATCTCTCAATTTTGATAACTGAACAGGTAGGCCTCGTTATAATGCGCTTGTTCAAGCTTGTACACTCGAAAGCTTTCTTACTTTTCGATGTAAATTTCAGATCAATTTATATTTGCAAATTGAGCAAAAGCCGCACAAGAAAGAGGAGCTTATGGTTGCAAATAGCGTATTGAAATTGGCGGCTGATTTGATAAAGGTATGTGTTTTTACAAGTTTAATGAGGAAACGATATGAATGAATTAACTAATTCAAAAGGATGTTTTTGCAGGAATTGGAGAGTCCGTTTAAAATCTCTGGGCTGTCGGCTAATCCGTATCTATACACTATTACTAAAGTGGTGCTACTGTCAGCGCTCTCAGGAGTGCTTTCGGAATTGCTTGGTTTCAAGCTGAAACTACACAAGATAAAAATCAAATAAAACAACACGAGAGGATGCGTACGGAAGATTTACGCGTGTCCGTCTGTCAATCTCAGATTGTTTACTGGACTTAAACTTAATCTGTCCTCAGCGAAAATTACTTGGCTTAATTATACTTAAGTTAACATTAGGTGCTTTAGCTTGTTAAACTTCGAGACTGTAAGTAGCAAAACCTTATTTAGCTAGTCAAATCAATGACAATTTAATCTAATACTCAATATATTCAAAATTTAAAGAAATACGTAATTATGTAACAGAAATTATAGTGAAATTTTTATTTATGAACGAAGTTCGTTTCAAATTTGTCAGAGAATTTGGGGGGGGGGAAAAGTATATGAATCTAGCTCTTCGATACGCGACTCTTTCATTCGTGTAGGAAGAATGTTGATATTAATAGATTAACGAATGTATTTCATCAAACTGATTTTGTGGCCGACTAATTTAGCGATGGAAAAAATTATGGAAGTGAATCAATAATTATTCAAATGTTTATAAAACTTCTTAGAACGCACGTATATCTTTTATAACGTAGTGACTTTGCTTTTTAATACACTTGATATAGTGTTCCACTTGTGCATTGAAAAATATGGAAATATGATACGACTGCAAATTTCCCCTATTGTTTTTCAAATGTATTCTGGATTATTGTTGATTCATCTCATGCATAGAGTCAACCAATCATTCAACGCACACATTTGACAAAGACATACATTGTATGCTGTAGAACATGGCATTAACCTTTTTTTTTTGCTGAGTTATTGCACATTATTACTTTATCACTGTTAGTCTATTGTATTTAATACCAAACACCATTTAAAAAAATCATTCTTACACTCACTGAGACGAGTAAAGTGTTTGGAATCTTTTAAAAGATGTACAGTGTAAATATTAGAAGTGTGTGTAACAACAATAAGGGCTCGATAAACTACGTGAGAGAGAGACTTCCCTCAAGAAAGTGCTTTTTTAGTTTTAAATTAGAACTTTTGATGTTTTCTGAGTGTTATAATAAGATTTTATTATTGTTATGAATGAAAGACATTCTATTTTGTATATTATCTCGCATCTATTTTGCAACTACCGATTCAAGTGGTAGTATCTATATGAACGGATGTATTCGTCGAGCTTCGTTAGTGATAACGAGTTGAATTGTCGTATATATTCTAAGGCTATGTACGAGGATGAGTCAATAATTATATGGAGCCCATTTATGCAATTTGTTAAAGCGCCAACAGAGATTTTTCAACATAATCTCCTTGCTTCTCAACTTGGCATCCCGTAAATTTACTGGTTTGTCAGCTGCGCGTGTATCACTATCATATTTTAATGGATGACAAATTGACAGTAATTCGAGGGAGTGAACGATCACCGTGTGTATTTGGTCCAAGTTTAAAGATTAGAGATTACCGATCCGAGGATATAAATCAACTCGTGAAATGCTAGATGTCTCAATAGCATTTTGAAGAGCAACGGGACTGTATTAAAAAGTAATGCAAATGTAAATCTCTATTGAGGCTTTAATAAATGTTAATACATCCTAATTATATTGATTCGTTCTCATGTAATTGGACAAGTTGCCACATATTCTCGCAAATCTTACGATGTATCTGAAATGTAATTATATGATTATATGAACATACTTGAAGATATATGTAAATACCGTATGTATTACGAGATAGAGTATGTGTTATGAGAAGGTCAGTACCTGTGCGAGAATAAGATCGAACGTAAGTTATTTTTCAAACACATTTTGAACTCGTCGCAAATACACAGGAAATAAAGGCAACTGTATGTATATGTGAGAACTGCTGCGCGAAGAATTCATTCGATACTCGGAGACACCTTGGAACGACAGTTGTTTCAATTTGTATCGGTTAATTACAGATTTGCGATTCGCTAAAGTTTTACGGAAAGAGAGCAGAAACTTCAAAACTTAGCAGAGAGACAACCATTTCGATATAGTCATCTACCACGTGCACGCTTATAAATGGATGTCAAACTTATTACAATATGCAAATGTTTTAACATACATTTTAACGCTTGAAGAAACACGTATCAATAGTAGTCTATAACTAGAATCGCAACCGTGAAATGACTATGCATTTTTTTAATGATAAGATCGATTCTCGTTAACGAGAAATCTAAGAAAACTGGCCAGCGAAAAGAGGGGCTTCGCAGTTTTAACGTTGTGCCGCGGATTATAAATTCTTCCGTCGCGATAAACCATTTAATCATAAAAAAGAAATTCCGCGTGTGTTCGCGCGCGCATATGCGCGTACATACATGGAAGAGAAAAAGAAATAAGAGTGACATCAGCTCTCCGCTCGAGCGTTTAAGAGACCGTCGATAATACGATCAGTCGCGCGATCGAGGCCTCGATAAATTCGTCAAAATTCCCCGATTCCAGCCCCGGCGTGCGCGCCCGTTCAAACTACATATATAGGCACGTGTTGTTGTCCGCGCCCGCGCCCGATTGGTCCACGGCGGCCGCGTGACGCGCGCGGCGCGTCACACGAGCCATCCACCGTTCTCGCCGCCTGAACGTTGCTCCGAATACCGGCGGCGGCGAGAGCGGAGCCGGCGCGTGTTCCGTCCCGGCTTCAGTCAGTCAGTTCGCAGTCGCCCGCGCTCGCAGCCGCACGTCGCGCCCGGACGCAACCAGCCGCACGATCCCTCGCACCCGGTGTAGACGCCGCCGCGACATCCGAGCCCGGTGGGCGTCCGTCAGCGCACGCACCCACGCACGCAGTTCGCCGCCCCCGGCGCGCGTCCCGGCGAATCCCCCGTGACAATGGCCGCGGCCATGGACCACGACTATTACGACGGCTTTCGCACTTTCTCCTGGCTCGCGGACCTCGTCGGGTTACCGATCGACCAGGTGAGACGACGGGTATGACACCCGCGCGACGCGGCGCCAAGGGGGGCGGGGGTGACCGGCCGGCCGGCCGGTGCCACTGTCCTCTCCGGCGGATTCCTGGGCGGCAACGGGGAGATATCGATCGCTGGGAGGATCGCCGCGACGCGCCTCTCCGCGTCGTGCGCCCCGCGAGCGCGGGGTTGGGTTTCGCGACGGTTTCGCCAATTTGTGTCGGTCGGATTTTTTTTTGTTTTTTTTTTATTATTTAAGCGGACCCTCCCGGTCTCGCCGTCGGTCCGTGCTTTTAATCGGTCGGAAATTGTGCGCGGCAACGCGGCACGGGGTTAATCGAAACGAGCGAGAATCGCGACGGGTCGATTTTGAAACAAACCACGCGCGAGGGATTCGTATTCGAAGGGGGGAAATTGGCGGAAATTGTCGCGCACGCTGGACGACGCGACTTACGAGCGTTTCCTGCCCACGATTGTTACGTGCTCTTGTCCATTTTTGCGGTTTCGGCCGCGTTTGATTTGACCAATGGCCCTCGTGACGTACGTACGGGCGCCGGTCGGCGAGTTTTCCCCGAGTTTTTTCAGTACAGACACGCGGTTTTACAATTCAGTTGCCTATTTACCTTCTTGAATTTTGAATTTCTCGGCTAGTTCAAGGAGGACGCGCGGAAGGAAGCGGCTTTTGGCCTCTTGTGAATGTAAATTAAACTGTTTTGAACACACAGAATTTCTTTTGTATTCGAGATACAGCTCGGAATCGACGACGTAAAAGCGAGAATGCCTTCTAAACCCCGAACTCGGAACGGAAATGGAAGGGAAGAAGAATTCATTTCGTAATTCAGGAATTCGAAAAGAATCGCCCGGTTTCTACCCGGAAATTGCAGTTTATATAACGCAGTCGAAGTTGCGCAGCTTCCTTCCAAGTGCGGTTAATTATATAATTTCAAGGCCCTCAATGGCGTGATCCCTTTTTTCCATCTCGCGGTTGACTTCGACAATCGATCCTAATCGGGTTCGCGCGCGGCCAAGTTCGAAACTACATTTCCCTCCCTGCGCATTATTTTCTCGCGTATCTCGCAACCAATTCGGAGTCGTAATGCGTCGTTTCGGGAAGAGAAGACGCGAACAGGCCGGCGATTCGTACTATTACATTTGTAATACGACAAAGTTTTCAAGCTTGTCGATTGGCTGCAGAATGGATCATTTCTACAGACTCGGGAACTTTTCTATTCTGCAGCTAGTCAGCACGTATGAAAAATTTGTTGTACGACAAATGTATTAATACCAGCCTTAGGCTGGTATTACATTTGTCGTACGACAAAGTTTTTAAGCGTATTGATTGGCTGAAGGATAGTAAAATTCTTGAGTATCTAGAAACTTTCTATTCTGCGGCCAATCAACACGCTTGAAAAATTTGTCGTACGACAATTGTAATACCAGCCTTAGCTTAATATCACATTTGTCGCACGACCTATTTTTCAAGCGTGGTTGGTCGACTGCTGAATAGAAAATTTCTAGATACCCGAGAATTTTTCGCACGACAAATGTAATACTAGCCTAAAGCCTAATCTACAATGTGTTCTTCGCGCCTAGAAAACATTCTATTTTCTAGCCAGTAAATACGTTTAAAAAATTCGTGCAAGTCGACGAAGTTTTTAAAGCGGTTTGACTCGCTTATATAAAACCAAATGTTTCCAGACTCAAAAGCATTTTTCAAGCTTGTCGATTGGCTGCGGAATAGATCATTTCTAGAGACTCGAGAACTTTTCTATTCTACAGCCAGTCAACACGCTTGAAAAACTTAGCCTAATATTACATTTGTCGCACGACAAAGTTTTCAAGCGTGGTTGATCGACTGCTGAATAGAAAATTTCTAGATACCCGAGAATCTTTCGTACGACAAATGTAATACTAGCCTAAAGTCTAATCTGCAATGTGTTCTCCGGGTCTAGAAAACATTCTAATTTGCAGCCAATAAATGCGTTTAAAATATTCGTGCAAGTCGACGAATTGTACATTTACATCGTACAATCGTACGTTGTTGACGAAGTTTTTAAAGCGGTTTGACCCGCTTATATAAAACCGAATGTTTCTAGGCGCAATGAGCACATTGTAGATCAGGCGTAAAAGGTATCGTCTGGCGCAACGCGTTTTAAAATTGCGGCGCAAATCTCGAGTAGTCGATGACGTAAGCCGCGAGGATCGGAGATGCACTCGACGCGCAGATTATGTATCCCGTTTTGTAGCACCCTTGGTGGTTAAACCCGAAACGAACGACCGTGAATTTCCCTGTCAGTCGGATACGTGCCTCCCGATCGCGTCCTCCGATCCCTCGCCCTGAACTCCTTGGCGCGTGAAACTGCAGTCTGCATTTCCACGGTCGTACGCGAGGAACGTGCGGCACCTCCCCCGCCGGAAATAATTCTACAAAATTCTACGAAACAATTAAACACAACTACCAGAATCTAAGAAATTTAACGTAAATTTAAAATGTGTTAGAAAAATCAACATGAAAATGCTAGAATTGGAACACTTTTGTTAATTTTTGTAATATTCTTTAAGATTTTGTTGTTTCTCAAATTTTTTAAACTATAGTAAAGTTGTACAAAATTGTACATATTCGTGAAATACTACGTGCAATAAGTAATTTCTTGATTCGAGAACATTTGTAATTTGTGGTACTGTTTCGTAGATATTTTTACGAAAAAAAAATTAATTTTTTAACGAGGATATAAAAATTTCTACAAGTCTCTATTTCAAGTCAATTTTTTATAGTTATTTATGGAAAATTTTCCGCTAGGCTCGTCCGGGATATTCGTAAAAATAGATTAAGAGGAAGCGAACCACCTCTTTGTTGATCGACTTGACGCGCGACGCTCATTCGATCGTGTATCAGTTGCTAATATTCGCTTCCGCTCACGTAGAGGTCAACTTTAATCTCCATTTGACTCACCGTTTTCTCATTTGTCCACTTGTAGTGTAGATTTATTTTTTATCTCGTACTTAACTCGCTTTTTATCTCTTTCTAATTCCAGCTGTCCAATTAATTGCTGTCCTTTAGCAATGTAGATTGATTTCTTTATCTCGGTTCAATTCACTTTTTATCTTTCTCTAGTGCTGAGAATTAGAAAAAAGTAGGAGAAACCCCGAGATTAAAGTCAATCCACATTGACAGAAGTGATGATTATGACGAACGAAATGATTAATGGGCTGTTCACTTTCACCCTAGAACCTTGGTCTAGTTCTAAGGTTCGGTTCCTCCAACGTCATTTAACTTTAACCTTAGCTTAAAAGTAGGCTCGTCCTTTGTCTCTTTTTAAGGGGACAGTAAGGCCCGATTTCACCAACCGTCGTTTAACTTTAATCTTAGTTTAATTCACGTTTGCCTCTTTCTAAAGTAACAGACGAAAAGAGGCAAAGAACGAATTAAGCTAAGCTTAACGTTAAACAACGTTGGTGAAACCGGGCGTTAGAAGGAATAAATTGAACCGAGATTAAAATTAAGCGATATTGGAGAAACCCAAAGCTCACGTAAACTCTGAATGTGAATAATTTTCATTTGCTCGTAACTTCCGGAAAGAAATGATCAAAATTCAGTCCTTTCTTTGTAATTGACGGAACATTGAGGAATTCTGTCGATATTTTCGCGATTGAACAAAGTTGAAAAAGTTGTAACAGAAAAACGAAACACATGCGTTTCTTCAAAATTCACTTCTCGAGTCGCTCCATAAATTTCACCCACGTTTAACATTCTAGAGTCAAACATCGCGCGGTAGAATACGCGCGATAGAATAATTAATGCTTTGCTGGATACACCGCTCGATAAGTTAATCGCCGATTAAATGAATTGGAGTCTGTTGAGATCGTCCCCCTCGTGGGCCTCGGTTTCATCATCTACGATTAATCGAATTAGCCAATTGAATTTCAGTGTTTCATTGGAATCGACCAATCGTATTGTATTTATCGTAACCAAAATCAACCGATCACGGTTGACTCGTAATCGGCCGATTAATCGGAGATGGTGAGAGCGACGTAGTATATGAGTGTAGTATATGAGCTCGAGCAGAAAGATTGTCGTAACTGTTCGCGATTTCATCGTACGATATAAATCGATGTTGGAAGTCAACGCGCAAAGAATTGTATAAACGTGTGTCGTCGCAATGGATGCGACATATGTCTACGATTCTTTGTGCGTTGACTTCCGGTTTCGCGATAGAAACGGTTACGATAAATTCAGGCCGCAGGCCTGAGCAGAAGGATTGTCGTAACCGTTTACGAGTCGGTCGTAAGACTTAAGTCGGTGTCGGAAGTCAACGCACAACGCCTTGAGATGCGACGAATGCGACATACGTCCACAATTCTTTGTGCGCTGACTTCCGACAAATTCGAAAAATTTATCCGTGCGAGTGGCGAATTTATTTAAAGAACACTAAAAATATTGTAAATAAAAAGTACTTATTTATATATGTTAAAAGATAATAAAATAATAAAATTAATACTTCAAAATTATAATTCAGAAGTAATTACCTATTTTTCAATAAATAAGTACTTTTTGTTTACAATATTTTTAGTGTTCTTTAAATAAATTCGCCACTCGCACGAATAAAGTTTTCGAAGCTTCGAATCTTCGAAGTTATTAAAAGTAACAGCCCTGCTGAATAGTCACTGAATAGTCATTCTCCGGCCTTTGTAGTGCATACATTTTAACTTTGTGCCTGTAATGCTTATAATTATGACTAATTTACTATCTGACTGTTATCTCATGACTTCTTATCGAATTGGCTGGATTATTTATTAAGAACTTGCTTGAGAAGGACCTAAACCCTCAGTCGAAACGTCGCATTGTATTTTTTTTATATTAAACACGAGCCAGTTAAGGTCGACTAAAGCGTACTTATATTCACAAAGTTCTTCAAAACGCCGCGTTGTCCCACGATCACATGATTTTCAGTATAAATTCTAAGAGAAAATTCCCTCCGCGTAGAGATTGTCTGGTCATCGCGATACCGATACGGCTTATTTTTTCGAAAATTTACAAACGTTACTATGAAAATATTATAATGGAAGAAACCGATAAGAGGAGGGGCAGAGACGGAGGGAGCAGGCAAGGAGTGAGGAGGAAACGGAGGTGCGTCAGAGATAAGGAAATAATGCATAATTCTGAAAAAAAAGTTGATTCTCGCGACGATAAGTGCAGAATGGCTGTCTTGTACTTTTAAGACGTAAGACAGTTATTGTGCGTTACCTCAAGGCAAAGCCTTAAAACATAAAGCATTGTCTTGAGGCTGTCTTAATTAAGAGTACAAGACAGCCATTCTGCTCAGGCCCTAAGGCTGCACAATAATAAGTCGCGAGTCAAACTGGATTACTCCGATTTTGCCAATGACAACTTCACCTTGGGCGGATTGGTGCCCCGACCGCACCCTCTAATCTAAACTATCAATTTGACCTGATTGAAGCGCGATCGAATCACACGCGCGCGATCTTCGTTGAAGCGGAACGTTATACGAGAAGCGCGGCGGCGTTTAGCCGTTCTCTGCGTAGAACGCGTCGGGACTTCTCTATTATACAGGGTGAGGAAAACGTATGGAAACCCCTAAATACCTCGGAAATATGGTATATAAAGCGATTACATCGCGTGTGCGCAACGTTTATTCGTTCGATATTATGTCATTTTCCTGAAACGCGTATGTAAAGTTTACGACGGGGGGCATAAATGTTTTAAACGTTTTTATATCACTTGTTTTATCTGTGTTTCAGATAATCACTTAAACTCAGGTAATTTTGAAAAAGTCGCAAAACGGATTGTCGTAAAAACGAGTCCTACCTGTATTTGCGAAACGAACGCGATTGAGATACGTCCAGAAGAGTGTAAATAGTTCGATACAGATATCGAGGGGAAAAGAAAAGAGATTACTCGCTCGGTTATCGCTTTAAGACGTTCAAGTTGATTGTATTTTGCGACGTAAGTTTCCAGATAGACAGAAAGAGTCAATCAAGATTAATGTTCGAGGATTAATCGTGCACTGAAAAAAATTTCTGGTTGAATATGGACGAATCAGATAATTCCTTTAGGATTTACCAGAATTCCTTTAGGATTTACCAGAATTTCTGTAGGATTACAGGAATTCTGGTAAATCCTAAAGGAATTATCTGATTCGTCCATATTCAACCAGAAATTTTTTTCAGTGTGACTTAGAGCCGCGCATAACGCAAGCGGTCGGTGCTTCGTACAAAGAACGCATCTCTAACGCCTATTGATAAGAAGCTCCCTCGCTTGTGTTACAATTTAAGGGCGTGGGAGGTTTAAATTCGTTGAGCGTAATAATAGAATTCAAACAGACGCAACAGGTAATGAAGAGATTTGTCACGCTGCGCTGCACGTTTCTTACCAATCGTCTCGCAACGTCGAAGGCTCGTAAAGCCGGACGGTTAGAGCTGCATTATCTTTTCGCCGCTGAGAGGAAACAATATATCGCATTGCCGTAAAGAAGTCGTAACGAACGGGTCGGATCGTTTTACGGCCGCTCCTTAGAGCACAATCGACGTGCGCGCCATTTCATTCTCTATTTTTAGCGAGAAATCTTTATCTTGCTATTCTTGACGGTGCATGTCGCCGGCGGGAGACCGAGATCAGCTGTTTAAATAAATAATTCGCTTCAAAATAAAAGCAACATTGGGATACAAGAGGCGAGTGGGGAGGATGATTTTTATTTATTGGCCGTAACGACCAAGTTACGCGCTTGAAAAGAAAAAGCCTGTTAACCGGTCAAGCCCTGAAAAATTAATGAACCTTATTTGTCAGTGACTTCGTTAGTTTCATGAATACCAATCACCTTTGATTTATATTCATTACTGCGTAACGCATTCGGTAATTTATTTATGAAGTACACATCGTCTAGCCTCTAATCTTTTTTTTTTACTTCTCCCAATATATTCTCTATTAATCTACACAGTTGGAAAATTTGTGTTTTCTTGTTAAACAAAATGCCGGTTAAAATTTTAGTGTTAAATGTTTAATACATTCGTGTGTTAATTTGACATATTGCTCTTGTGTTAATTGGCCTCAAATGTAAAATTATGAAAATAAGTGAAAAGAAATGTTAAAACAACGCAATGTGTACTTATTTTTTTATGTGACGCAATTCATATCTTCTGTATTATTAGTAGCAAAATTTATCTGTTAAAATTCGCAGAATGAAGTATTGATTTTATTCTATACTTAATATAACATAAGCGAGAGCGATTTCGAACCGTCATTTGACTTATTACATCTGTAAAATGTAAAAGTTACACTTTTTAAATTCATTTTGTTATTAAAAATATGTTAATTTTACACAAAATTTATTTCAAATTATTTTGAGATTTGCATTTATTTTGTGATAAAATATTAACTGAGTATTAATGTGATCATCAACACAAAAATTTGTGTGGACCGTTTAGGACATGTGATTTGTGATATCCGTTAAATTTAACACAAATTTTTCAACTGTGTATATTCGTTATAATATAGAGAAAAGTCCTCTGTTATGAGACAGGTTTCTAACACGAGATCGCAAGTTTTCAACACCCAAATTCAATCACAAATCTTTTTTCGCAACGATTACACAATCTGACAATGAATTTTCCACTAAACAGATTTCGCTCCAGGGACAACAAATTTATGGTGGAATCAACAGATAGGGGCCTTATTGATTTAACAAAAATCCCGCTCTATTAAGAGCCTATCTCATAATAGGGGGCTTTCATCTACATACAAGTTATACGTATCATTTTTAATAATAAGTAGCTGACGTATTTTTACTTCTAATATACATAATTTTATACTTTTTTTTACCATTATCTCGTTTTGTCGCGTCGTTGGGAGTTATGTAAGAATTTTGAGACGAAACTTTGGATTTTTTTTTGTTATTTTCAGAAAATTACAATTCTTTTATCCGTTGCGATATCTGCTTCTTTCAAACTCGTGTAAACCTTATCGGTTTGCTCAAGAGTTCTCAGGCGATCTCGCTCGTAAGACTAACAAGTTTTCACTAGCAAAAGAAAAAGATAACGTACATGTGATTTTGCAAATAAAGCAATTTACCATGGCAAAACACCGGACATATTTACTCCAATTTAGTATCGTGACCGCAGTAATCACCGGCGCGGAGATCAACGACCTCGTCGTTCGCACGTATCCCACCGTTGTTTGCGAAGTCAAGTGAATCTAGCACCTGCATTAGGTGCGTACCGTTAGGATGCCGTTCAAAAGGAGCTCGACGTTTCCTCGGAAGTGACTTTTTCGCGACGGCAAAAATGAAATAACGGACTCTCGACGCAAATCCAAGCAATTGCTCCTATTTTCACGTGCGAGATACATACGTGCAATTCAGCAACGTTGCAACGGACGTGATTAGAACCCATTTTGCAGGAGTCTTGTATGCAGACAATTGTTCTTTTTAGTTGAATTCGAAAAGTGTCCAGAAGTCCATTATGATTTTAACATTATTAAAAAAAGGGAAGGGGGAAACGAAAAAGTGCAAATTGGAAATATGCACGTTGCTTTATTATTTAATCACTTGTTATAATCGTAAATTATAATTAAGAGATCGCTCTGAGACAAAAGTAGCTCTTAATGTGTCCGTTTCTTCTGTTTGCACAGGTAAATTTTGTCCTGACGCAATTCACAGCCCTCATATTAGCCACACTATTAAGATCATCTCTGAGCCCCATCGCCACTACCCCAGCCGCAAGACATGTTTATGGCCTTACCATTGGCCTCGCTCTTGGATATTTTTGCTTCGGCAGGTAAGCCTACGTTCCATCCATTCTCCGTGTGAGAGAAACGTATGAAAATTTTTACTTGTCGCAAAATGGTTGTAACTCGAAATATCAAGTTCATGTGAAGAAGTTCCACTTTATGATCACTTTTTTTGTTAGTTCTATCGTGCTTGCTAGAATAATGTTTAGTTTCGTATTAGACCAACGATATAGATTAGAGTTAGATTAGTTGCATTCTAAGACGTAATGTTCTTTGAGATTCTATAAGATCCTCGCCTAAATTCGAGACAGGGAGCTAACGCAAAACATCGGTAAGCATCTGACCGAGGGGGAAACCGCTAACCAAAATCTTACACACCAATGCCCACTAATGCCCAGTAGGCATTACTTTATCTTATCATCTTATTTTATCTTTATAATGCCCTAGCAAGACCTAATGTCTAAACTAATGCCCAAAAAATGCCTAGTAATGCCCAGCAATGCCGCAAATCTGTACACCACATACCCTTAGCGGTTTCCCCCTTTGCATCTGACACATAACTCCGTTTTAAGTTACTTTTATAAAGGTTAATTCTTTCAGTTGCAACTGTTTTGTTAGTCTATATATATGTATATATATATATGTATATGTTTTATATATATAACATATCGAATATTGCTGTATATTTCGTTTTTTTAACAGAGAAATTCACTTAGCAACGTTCTTTTTCAGGCAGGCGATCCATCTCGCTATTCTTCCCGCGTTATGTTACGTGGCGATGCGCACACAAAATCCCCGCAATATGCAGAGGTAAGAGAGATATAAATATAAGGATCCCCTCATGGAAATATTTTGCTGTAAAAGTATCATGAAATGAGAGTTATTGAAAAATTACTGAATTTATCTCAAAATGAATCATATTTTCCTTGTGAAATTCAATGCAGCAGTATGAAATATTAAATGTCATGAAATTTTTACTGAATTTAACTACGAACTGTTTCTTTTGAATGAAAAATTTTTCAAATAATTTTTCACCGAAATTTTTATTGAAATATTGATAAGAGAACAATGAAGCGGAGAGAAAGTGTCAAGTACATTTCAACAAAATGTCATTACATTTTCAATAAAATATTTCCACCAGGGTTGTGTTATAACTTATGCACTGCTAACCGCGTTGTATTCTTCAAGTCCAACTTTTACTTATTAATAAATATATGTTAATATATGTTTCGGTATTCAGGAATACTATAATCGGTCAGTCATAAACATAACGATTTAATTCGCGCTTCTTCTTATTAAAAAAATAGTCGAATAGTCGCGCGTTGCGCACTTTATCGGGCCACACGTTCTTCTGCATAATTAACCCTGCAGTTGTTATTGTACAGAATCATACGACTTCTCCCTCTCTCGAGACTAACAAGGAGAGATTGCACACGTCATCGATAACAATGATTCGCCGCGCGAAGCACGCTCAGCGTGATCGTTTGCACGTATGATGTAATGAAACGCGTGCTTATTGACGAATTAATGTTTGATCTCGGGAGTAAAATCACGCGAGCAAAGACGAACGGCATGTACGAACTTGACATGTGCATCTGAATGTGTTTCAGGGTCGTCCTCGCAATTGCGTTAATCTATTTATCGTGCATTCACTTTCACCGGCAGATCTACGATTATGGCTCGTACACGCTCGACATCACTGGTACGTTCAACTCGCCGATTTCACCCGGCTTATGCGGAGAGGACTGCCGGCTCTTTCGCATTTTAATTTGCGTAAAAGAACTCGCTTCTTTACTTCATATTTATAAATGTATATGAGTTGATATTGAGGAATTAATAGTTTCAGACGAAAAGACCTTTCCGTATAATCTTTTGAATTTATAATATCTGTACTCTTGTTTATACTCATAAATTTCTTTGAATGCAATGCTACTGCAAGAGCATTTTACGCTCTCCTAAACGTGACCGCGTTATTGAATGATATGGACATCCTTGCGATGTTGTCACCTCTTACTGCCTGCAATTATGTAAGTTTCACGCCCTGCATGTAACGTCATCTGTTTATTTAGATTTCTTCCTAAGTAGACAAACGTGATTTCCGACATCAATTTCGTACGCTTTAAATCCTTCCTGGTCATTACGTTGCCCTTACAAGTCTGCCTCCTTTGTCCTTTATGAACGGCGTTTTTATTAAATTGAGTCACATTCAGCATGATATATTGAGCAGTATGCGTATGATATTGAGCGCCTTGTAGTGTCTCGCCATTATGTACACGCCAATACATCTCGTTCGTAAATGTTTCGGCGATAAGTCTCATCATTATTCCCGTGCAACGCTTTTGTAACGTGTTACGGACGTTCTTTTCAGGTCCACTCATGGTTATAACGCAGAAAGTAACTAGTCTAGCGTTCAGCATTCACGACGGGCTAACGCGACGCGAAGAGGAGCTGACACCGATGCAACGTCATCAGGCAGTACAGTGAGTACACGTGCTCTTTTAACAGGCTCTTTTAACAGTGCGCGTTGTTATTTATATCGGCACGAGAAGCATCGAGAATATAATGTAACGTAAAGAGCAGTCCTGATAATTGTTTCGTGATGTCAAAATCCCATTACTTACGAACTGTATTTATCAGCAGAATGTATTTGTATTTAAAATTGCGATATTTGTAATAATTTTTATGTAGACAAGTTTTATAGAAGAAAAGATCGCATGTGAGACTTTATCAGTTTTAATAGGTCCAGACAGATTTATCGATAGAAACGAATCGTTAATGAAACGCGAACGGAAGAATATCCTGACACTTTATCGTTTACGTTATCGCAAAGAGATATTCTCTCATTGTTACTTTTACAGGAAGATGCCAACTACTTTGGAGTACTTTAGCTACATATTTCACTTTCAAGCTCTCATGGCTGGCCCAGTGATATTCTACCGCGATTACATCGATTTTATACACGGACATCACTTGCCTGGCGCCAAATCTTTAGCCGTAAGGACATTGACGTGGATATAAAACCGTATAATGCCGATTACAATTCTTTTAGAATTCATATCATTATTTTAAAATAAAAATTCAAGCATTATTTTTTAACAACGTTGTAAATTATAGACTTGAAGAAGCATTTATAGTGATGACAAAACTGTTTTAGGGCTTTTATGACAAAAATAGCCAAGAGAAGGAGATTGTTCTGGAGCCGTCACCGACTCTGGTCGTCGTGAGAAAAGTCGCAGCGAGTTTAGCATGCGCCATTATATTCATCACCTTTATCCCGGTCTTTCCAATACAACGTGTAAAAAGTTCGTCTGAATTCTTCGTCTTTAATCTTGCCGCGCATGTCTCCGTGGTTAATAATACATTATGTTTTTCAGAGGACGAATTCCTGAAGAACACAAGTATGCTTTACAAAGTATGGTACTTAATGCTGACGACTATGCTCGCGCGCTTTAAATACTACCACGCGTGGCTGTTCGCCGATGCCATATGTAACAATTCTGGCCTTGGATTCAACGGTTACGACGAACGTGGCGAAGCGCGCTGGGATTTGGTCTCGAACGTCGACGTTTTTAAATTCGAGGTGCGATACGCTTGCAATTTATAATGTATAAGTAAAAGTAATAAAAATTTCGAAGCATTACTGGTGGACCAAACAGAAAAAATGCTCGAACTCGTTTTCTCGTCGCCCATGTGCACAACAGTGACCCACGTTTATCTTAAAGTTGCAGTTTATCGTTTGATTGACTTTCAGACATCGCTTAATCTTAAGGACAGCATCGACAGTTGGAACAAGGGCACGAATTTGTGGTTGCGTTCGATCATGTATGAACGAGCTGGTCGTAACAAAATAATGCACACGTACGCCTTGTCCGCTCTATGGCACGGCTTTTATCCCGGCTATTACCTCACATTCGCGAGCGGAGCGTTCTTCACTGTAGCGGCACGTTCAGTTAGTATATTTCAATATTGTACTGTACTTTAAGGACTGCGACTCAGGTTGCAGATTTTCAATCTTCCATGCTCTGGCGATAGGTCCGCCGCTACATCCGGCCGCTGTTCCTGGAATCTCAAGGAAAGAAGACTTTTTACGATGTCTTAACGTTCATCACGACGAGAATTTTAATGGCCTACATAACGTTCAGCTTTGTATTATTAGAATTTGTACCAAGCATCAAAGTGTACCTGTAAGTCCATTCATCGTTGACTAAAATCGTAGGAATGACCCAGCGAGAAATTGACGTCGAAATCGACATCGTTTCGACGTCGATCAACAAATTATTTCTCACTGGGGATATTCTTCAATATCGAAAGTTTGAGTTTATATTTGCCGAAGGATACATCCTTAATTACCAAAAGCCCAATTTTGATTAACGCATTTCCTTTTGTTGTTAGGTACTTGTACCTGCTCCCGCATTTATTGGGTTTGATTTCGATATTACTTCTGCCCCGTCTGGGGCTGTCACGAAAGACGCACAAGCAGTCGGCCGCAAAGGTCGAGACTGATCTCTCCGACGCAGTCAGCAACGGAAACGCGCACAAGACAATGTAGTCTTCTGGTTGCGACGTTAGGAAAAACAGATATTTTTTATGGATGTTTTTATTATATATATATATGTGTGTGTATACATTTAATATATGTACATATATATATATGTAAATGTAATATACATATTTCTTGTTACAATGTATTACAGATGTGAAAGTCTATCGATAATGTGCTATATGCACGTTACATTTGTGTAAAACATTATCGAAACTGACGTATCGTTTATATATATATATATGTATATATATATATATATAATAATATGGATAAGAAAAATTTTATAATTCGCCTAAATATATGGCTGTTTTATTTACGACTCTATCAATCTTCTATTTGTTTCTCTACGTCACCATGCGCCGTTGTGTCCAAACGAAGAAGAAGAATTGAAAGAAAAGAAATTGAAGCTTTCATGCGAAAACTCGAGGTAATACCGGAATATCAAAATCGTCGGTCTCAAGAAAGACTCGAGTGATTATATGTTATTGGGACGCTATCGTAGCGACCGCGAAGTTGTTATTCTGACCGTGCGGTTTAAATGTAATTACAGACTGCGACAGAGTGGACTCTTAAATGGTTTTGCACGCACAACTTTATTCGATCGCTGTCTAATGGAATATCATGTTTGTAATTGGGTAAAGAGAAGCACTGAGACTGTCGGCGTGCACGCGAAGCCCTATCGCGCGAGCAACGGCGAGCGAGTGCGTCTGACCGTCGCGAACGGTCAGTTAGTGTTTCGTTGTTCGATGTCAGGAAGAATACAACACGCGGAAAGAGGCAGAGGACAATCCGGAAGAGCATGGTAAAACCTCTATTTGTAATTCATATTTCAAATGAAGTCTTCATTAATCGTGATTAATTGAAGATTTCGTCAGTATTTGCATTGGGAATGATCATTACTGAAGACAAAGACGGACAAGGTGCATTGTTAATGGAAGTTTGAAAGGGCAGATATCTTCCCTGAGAGAGGTCGTAAAAAGAAGCAATAAACTTTGCATTCTGTTATATAAGAAAGATTTATTGAACTTTTTTTTAAGTAAGGAAAATAGAGTGGCAAAGTTATGGTGGATAAATAAATTAAAATTACATGTACGATATCTAACGTGAACAGACATTTAGAGACCAATCTTCAGGCATTATCTTGAATGTAATAATGATTACATTATTATCGCGAATGATTACATTATATAGCGAATCATTATTACAACCATGATTGTAATAATGATTCGCTTAACGTAATTAATTGTACAAATTATAATTATCTCTAAATAATACAATTTATTTAATAGTTATACGTGTTATATAATATCAGGGTTGGGTAGTGTCTAGTTAAAAAGTTAAAAGTTAAGTTAAAAAGTTAAATAATTTTAACTTAACTTAGATACATTATAGACTGTTAAGTTTTAACTTAATTTAGTTACATTTTATCGGTAACTTTTAACTTTGAATTTACCTTTCTTAAAGTTTGTCATGCCGTAACCAAAGGTGTCACGAGCATAGACTTATGTGGGGTCTATAATGAGAGTCGCAGAGTCACAGTCGTAAGAATAATCGACTGTAATTAATCAATTCAGTCAGACACATAAGAATTAACCAATTATAGTCGACTATTCTTACGACTACAACTTTACGATTTATATGTAGACGAGGCTTTATAAATATGTATAAGTCTATGGTCGCGAGACGCCGCATGCCTGCCCACATTGGCAGTTCCTGTGTTCCAAAATTCACTGCCTACATTAAAAATGTACGGTATACGTTACGTGCACTATTGATCTTCAAGAGTAAATTTTGGAACACAGCCATTATATGGGATTTTGATTCTCACTGACAAACTCACGTTAATTTGTTCGCCTCAGTAATGCAAACTTTGAATCTCTAGGTCTGTTTGCCCCAACAACATATCGTCATTTTATTTACAATTTAAGTGAGTGTATTGGTCGTTGGGACAAGCTGGAACATGTTGGGGCATGCGACGCGAATAGATCTGTTAGGCAACGCGTGGAGGAGATAGGGTGGAGGGTACCGGACGGCATTATCTTCTTCTATCTTCTACTGACTGACGAGTGCCGAGCACTATCTCCACTCTATCCCCTTCACGTGCTCAGTAGCCTGGCAGAAAAGTTTCGAAGTTTGCAAAGTTTGCATCGCTAAAACGGGCCATATTTCATGTATTCCAAACTGTGAGATTTTGTGCAAAACCACAATGAGTGTGATGGTTTCTATTTCAGTTATTTATAAGACCGTAAAACCCTGAAATCGTGAAGTAAAACAAATTTAACTTTTAACTTTT